CACATAGCATAGATTAGATTAGTAAAATTAGCATAGATTAGTAAAATTACTTGGTTTTCTCTGCTAACTTGTTAACTGGGTAAAAACAAAAAGGGTAACTTATATTTATATTAAACACCTTTTTAAACTGAGCTTCCATTTCATTTGCAAACCCAAAGGATGATATGCTGAACTAGAAGCCAAAAGGGTCTGGGAAGCAGATAAAGTTACAGAAATACACATGCTGTCTTTATTAAATTGACATAAACAAATGCTTAATTGATTCCTAAGTTGTATTGCATAAACTGTTTTAATATATATTTAAATGCAGCCAGAAAATTTATCTCTTGAAACGTGCAGAGCATTGTTCTAAAATATCTTCAAATAGTTTGTACAGGGGACAAATATTTTTTTTCCTGGGATATACATCTTTCTGAGAAATATTTTAGCGGGTGTTATCTTTTTAAAAACCGAATTAACTATTTAATCAGGTAAATAACTACACCTAACTTCTAAAGTAGTTCTCTGTTTGTTGCTGCACATTCTTAAAACACCCACTGTAGCAAATACACTGCTTCTTTCCATTTGCTCACCACAATGCTGATTTTCTCAAAAAATGACAAATTGCCATGAATAAAAATAACTTTAAAAATACAGTTTTCAATTTCAGTGTTTAAACTGAATTCTTCTCCATTTTGGGGCTCTGGGCTCCCTAAATGATTTACTTCACTTAATAAGGACACATAGATCTTTGGGTGTGTGTATAAAGCAGCAAGTAAACATTTCATCTAGCTGTGAGAAATCTAACACCACACTCTGAGCAACACAAAGGAACATGTCTGCTCAAATTGTTTCAGGACTCAGATCGTTTTTGCAAATGTATCCAGTGACAAAATAGCCTCTTCCCACCTCATCTGTGGAATCTGCTGTATTTGATGCCTGTTAGGCAGGGCCCTTTTCTTAATCTCAGATATGCACACTGGCCAAAACAACAACTATAATAGAACTGCAGAAGGCTCTGCCTTAAAATATAAATTAAGTTGGCCCTCTAGACTGTAAAAAGAGAAATTAACTGTAGTAAATAACAGTAGTAAACTGTAAATAAACTGTAGTAAATAACAGTTGTACAAAAGCTAATTTCTTCTTGTGTAACAAACAAAGCTTGCTGGTTTCCATGGGGACTGACTCCCCCCCCTTTGCTGTTGTTTGAATCTAAGTTGCCAATAGTTGAGGTTAGAAGAGGCACTTAATTTTATTTCAGAATCAAATGGGAGGTTTGTTAATCGTAGAATACTGTATACGCCATGTATATATGTACTGCTTGCATCTAATCCTCTCTCAATGCCTGCCAATGCACATTTAAGATCAGCTGCAAATTATGCACACAAATTTCTGTATAAATATGCTTCTCATGTTGTTGACTGAGCTGGCATTCCTTCTTCAGATCCTGTGATCTGAATCAGGTTTAGAAGTCCCTCTCAGGAAAAAGGGTGAATGGGATCTTTAAAAAAACTTTTGATCTAAAGAGAATAGGTAGTTGTGGCCTCCTTGCTTCCACTCTCCTAGGTATTTACTGTTTCTCAGGTAGTTCCTGATACAGTGAGATGAGAAAAATAATTTGAACCCCTGAAATGCATTTATTGAAAGCACTGTAGGTAATTAGAAGCAAAGACCTAGATTGGAAAGAAAATGTTCACGCAGTTTAGCACTGGAAACTAGAGGGGAACACCAGCAATACCCCAAAGACTCCACAGCCTCTAACACATTTTGGTTAAACAAGGCCCCTTTCTTCCCTCTGGTGCGTGGTTGTCTAAGGCTCTGATCCTCCATGCCCTAGCTTGGGAGGAATTCACACTGAACTTGGTGAGAGTTACCGGTATTCTTGAGTACATGTATATAGGATTGCACTGCAGAAGAGGGAGAGAGCAAAAGCTAAACATTGTTCACCTAACAATTTTTTTAAAAGACAACCATCACTAAGTTTTCCCTTTCGTTTTGGAGCTCAGGGCACTAGTGGCCTGGGAGGAGGGAGGGGAGAGAGACTGAGGGGTCACAAGCTCTTAGCTTTTAGCCTCAGCTTGACCACAGGGTTGGTTAAAAAAGAACAGGAGGGGATCACTTGCTTTTTGCGGGCTGTAGCTGTTTTGAACACATTGTTGGGGGGGGGGGGGAGAAGGGTAGAGAATGTGGAGGGAGAGGCAACCTTTTGTTCTGTAGAGATCTCCATTCCCTGAAATAATCTAATCCTCCTTTTTTTAATATGTTGTAATTTTTTTATTTCAGTGTGAATAAGAGAATTTTAAAAACCCCAAACAAATTTATTTATTATAATTTACAGACTGCAAATGCAAATATTTTCTGAGTGCTATGCAGTATATTAAAAATGAAACAAAACATAAAACATGTGAAGGAGAATAATCTGTGTCTAGCAGAAAAATCGATCTGGACACCAGTGGTGTACATTCTGAATATGTTAGATCTTTGTGAAACTCCACGAAATGTGGCGAAAGGTGCTGAGGACTCAGGCAATCGAGGTGGAGGTGACATTGAATTGCTCCTTTATTAAGAACAACAACAAATAGTCTTGTAGCACTTTAATGGCTAACCAATTTGTAAGAGAGTCTACTACTTCATCCAATGTGTGAAATGCCGTGCACAGCCCCTGTGTCCCTGTGGGGTAGTGGTTCAAGTGTTGGACATGGGGTGGGGAGATCTGGGTTCAAATCCCCACTCATACATGAGCTTCACTGGGTGAGCCCTGCGCCAGCTACTCTCTCGCAGCCCAAAGTTGCTATGACGATGTACATTCTCCCTCTGCCTATTGACACTTGGCATAAGACCCCTCCCTCTGTTGCTTAAGCTTCTTGTTTCAGTAAGCCTGTCCGGACATATAATTTAGCTGTCTATATCGTGAGATGTTGTGATGAAGGGCAGTAAATAAATCTAATTAATAATAATAATAATTTAGTTTTACTAATTTTAGCTCTATTTAAATGACCATTATTTAATGTATATTTGCTTTTTACCAATTGATTCTGTGGATTTTAGCTGTGCCTCATCTACAGTTTTATCATGTGCACCACTTAGAGAGCTGTTTGATTATCTGATATGCAAAGCTTCCCAAATAAATACATAGAAATAGAAAATAAATGCAGACTGACTTGGGGCTGCAGAGTGGATTAGTCCACTATATGTATCAATCCCTTCTGACAAGGAGAGGTGTTTGCAAAATGATAATAATCATCATCATCATCAATCAATCCCTACTTTAAAATTATGTTGGCATAAAAGGAGAGGGACGTCTAAGGAACGAAAAGGACTAACAGTTCAATCCCAAGTGTGTTTATTCAGAGGCACTGCGCAGCTTTTGCTGTCTGGAACACCCTCGTTCTGGAACACACTCTGTTCACGAGGCAGAAACTGAAAAGCTTTAAACAACTCCTACAGACCCATCTATTTAAACAGGCATTCTCGGGCTTACAAGGTTCACTACACGCTTCTGTTATATTGTCTATTGATATTAAACTGAATGTTCCGTTGATGGGTTCTCTGTTCTTTCGGACGTATTTCTTTGTATTCTTGGTTTTAAATGCTGTATATACATTTATTTTCATTTACATATTAAGCAGTAAATGTAAAGCCACCTTCATTTAGAATCCTCTAACTGGAGATTTTAATAAGTCTGTACTGTAATCATAAAGATGACAAAATGTTTGGCACAACTTAGTAAGTTTATGGTTACAGCCTTATTAAAATATCCAGTTAGAGAAGATGGCTTTACATTTTTACCTTGGGAAGGAGCATCAAAAACTAAGTTTTAAAAAATGTAATAATAATAATAATAATAATAATAATACACGAGGGAGACGTGGTTTCAAATCTCTCTTCGGCCACAAGGTTGTGAATGAAACTGCTGAAAACTTTGCAGAATGCTTTTATCATTGCACAGAACGATGTGCCGCCAAATAAAAAAGTTGTTCTTCCTCCAAGATGCGCGGACGGGGCTGGATTTCCTTGGGCTCCTATTGGCCAAGTGGGCTCAACTGCAGGACACAATTAATTATGCTAATTGCGTGGGGAGCGGATGTGCTCCTCCCCCTCTTCTTCATTTGGCTGTCTGGCAAAAGGGGACGCCTCGGGTGGTGGTCACATGACATTGTCTTCGCGCCACTTTCGTAAATCTCTCTTCTCTTTTTTAATAGCAGCCTTTTGCACCAGGACTTAAAGGTAACGTGTTTATCTTCCTCTCTTGGTCTTTCCAGTAGAACAAGCGGGGCGGTGGTGCAAAGCGCGCGCGCACCTTTGATTTTAAAGCGCCTTCCTTCCTTTGATCTCTGGCGCTTCCACGTACTTTGCAGCTTCCTCCCTGCAAATCTGTGCAAAAGCGGCTGCAAAATCCAGCCTTTTGCAAAGGCCGCCTCTTTCGTGTGAAAAGCCACCTGTAGGAGTGGGAGTGAGCGCGTGCACACATTTTGCGCGTGGATCTGCTGACTTTGGGGGGCGCGGGATCGTGCTTTTCTTTGCAAAGTCCGTTCTTACGAGTGCAGCCGCCCAAGGTCCGGGGGGGGGGCCCGGCGGCAGATACCACTTTTGCAAAACTCGCATGACGCTCATGGCTGCCGTCTCCTCCAGCAAGCGCAGCAACAATGCAGGCGCTGCCTTTCTTTGCGCAGGGTGAGGGCGCGAGATCCTCCCAGCGCCCCTTCCATCCTTTGCAAAATCCTTCCCTTTGTCCTGGGATCCTTCCCTAAAAATAAAAAAAAGAGGAGCCCGGCTAGATGGGAGGAGAGTGAGGGGTGTTAAATTGTTTTTGCGCGTGCACGCGTCCGAGGGGCGCATCGCTTCCTTCTGCAGGTTCCCACCCGCCCCAACAAAAAATATTCATTTAAAAACGTTATTTCCTTGCATCTCTTAAAAGACGCATTGTTGCTCGTGCACATGGCGGGGGTCGGAGGGTGGGTGGGAAGGGAGGTTTCCCCTCTTTCTCTGGGGGGGGAGGGGGAGCAAGAAGAGCGTCTGCCCCGCCGCGCATGTGCCTTGCCCGCGAGGTATGCCGGGGCTTGTAGTTCCCTGGCAGGAGGCTCGCAGCACCACGCGCTGGAGGCGAAGGAAGCGGTGCGCCCGGGACTCGAGGAGCCCAGGTTGCAGCCACCGCGCACGCACCGCGCACGCAGGGGAGGCAGCCGCGCACCCGGTGTCTTCGTCGTTCCGCCGCCCCGAGCATCTCGCCTGCGGGGTAACAGCGCAAAGGGTGCGCAAACTTTTTTGGGAAGGCGGGGGGAGGGAGGAGGAGAGCTGGGCTGGCGCACCGACGCTGCCGCCCGCGTCTGCAGCCCAGGCATGGAGACAAAGGGGCCCCTGGCCGCGGAGGCGCCCTCCTTTCTCTCGCTCCGGCTTTGGGTCAGGGGCGGGAGTTGCATCGCCCTGAGGAAGGAAGGAAGGCAGGCAGGGATCGGCGGCGGGAAACTTTTGCAAAAGTATATGCATGCATATATATATAAAAAAAACGAAAGCCAAACGCTATACAGCGACAGTCCCCGAGGAAGTTTATAATTATTTATTTTAGCATAGCGCGCTTCGGAGTTTGCAGGGCGGCAGGAGCGAGATCGAGCCTTCCTGGGGGCAATGCGATGCGCCCGTCACCTCTTCAGAGTCAGAGGGGGCTCGTGCATGGCGTGGCCTTTCATTTTTCGGCTGGGGGGGCCGAGGAAAGGAACGCGCAGTGGACGTTTGCAGCGAGGATCGGCGGGGTTTGACTGCAGGGGCGGGGGGGGTGCGAGGGGGGCTCTCCTGAGCTCAGTCGCGTGGGCGGTTGGTGGGTTTCGCAGCCTCTTAGCCCGCGTGGGTTCGCGCGAGTGAGCTGCGGGCTGTCGAGGCGGGGGAGGCCGGGCTTGGCGCGTTTTTGGCACTTTGAATAGCGAGCTCCCTTTCCCACAATGCCTCGGCGGCCCCTTTCTCTTTAACCGCAGCACGAGGGGCGCAAGCCCGGGCGCGCGCTTCTGCTTGCCCTCGGTCCCCGTTTGCACGTGGTGGGCTTTGGAGGAAAGGGCTACGGATGCCCCCCACCCCTCGAAATACTGTTTCCAAGCTCTCCCAGGAACTAGCGGTGAGAGCCCCTCATAATGAATCTGCCCCTGTCCGCTTCGTTTAAGGACCTGGCCAGATGCGGAGGGGCTGCAAAGGGGCCGGTTGCCTGACCTTTTAATTCCCTTCCCCTCACAGTTTCCTTAACTACTCAGATTGTGAAGCTTCAGCATTTTTGAAAGCTGCAAAAGCTTTTTATTTCTTTATTGCAGTTTGATTTGGGGGGCGGGGGGAGGAAAGAAGGCAGAGTTGATGTATTTTTCGTTTAGGTTTTCTGTTGATTCGTTATGCGAATCTCTGAAGGAAGCCCAGAAACGCAGCTCAGTTAACCTTAGTAGGGTGTACAATTATGAATCTTGCTTGATTAATTCAGGCAGCCTTTTCAAAGGATTGAGCTTTTGTCGGAATTATGCACTTTGTCAATTTTAAAAAGAACAAATTTAGCAGCATTAAGAGAGCAGAATGCTACTTGTGCAGTGAAGAGGAGTTTGTGATTGGGTTTATAATCTCCCTAAAATGCGACACCCCTTCATTGATCTGTAGACTTCATATTCTCTAAGCAGAACCTACAGGATTGACCTGAGGTTGGTGTTTTGGATCTGAGAGCTGGCTTGGTCTTTGGCATCATCTTTAATTATTGTATGCAAGAAACTTTATAATCTTTTCAGAAGAAGCAATTCCGTATCTCCATGTTGTAGGGGAAATATTAGAAGTGTGCAGTGATGCTATATAGCTAAAATGTAGTGCAGAATAATTCTGAATTTCTTTGCCTTGACTCCCACTTCTCTTAAGAAGATGGTGAAACTGAGCCTTGGAGAGCGTAGGCGTAACTTTGAATAAAGGCTGGAAAAGGTCCTGTGAAGCCTTGAACAAAAGACATTGGGCTTGTACTAAACTTACAATGAAAGTGGAAGCTTTCATCTAGTTCTTTTTGCAAAGAAACATCTAACTATAAATGGGCATGTTCCAAGACAAAGCGTGTTTGCATTTTGTCACAGCTTAATGACACGATTGCCAGTTCAATGATTATAATATAATATCAGTACCTGCCATTTGCCCCTAGCTTACAACTGTTGCTAACCATTAGAAGCTGTTATAGACAATGAAAAATGGGTCAGGAGAAGGAGACTGATTAGGAACTCAATTGCACAGGGCAGTTTCATGGGATTGTTGCAGATAGGACCTGGTCACAGTGAGTTTCATGCAGGAGTGGGGATTGAATCCTAGCCTAAAACAACATTCAGGGCTCCAGAATGATTTGTAAACCTGATTTATCTCCTGTGAAATGTATAAATAACAACTCAACTGGAAACCTTGAGTACCACCACCCTATATTTTCTCCTGGTAACAGTTGTTAAAAAAACCAGCAAGGGGTCTGCTGCTGCAGGACCAGTTGCACTCGAAAATCAGTTGCTGATAGAGAGGAGAAGGTCAGTCAAAGTGTGATGAGCTGCCTGCTGATACAGTGGTACCTCTGGTTATGTACATAATTCGTTCCAGAGGTCTGTCCTTAACCTGAAACTGTCCTTAACCTGAAGCACCACTTTAGCTAATGGGGCCTCCCGCTGCCGCCACGCCGCTGGAGCATGATTTCTGTTCTCATCCTGAAGCAAAGTTCTTAACCCGAGGTATTATTTCTGGGTTAGCGGAGTCTGTCACCTGAAGCGCCTGTAATCTGAGGTACCACTGTACTGAGCTCAGACCCTTGATAAACTACTTGCAACCAATTTCTTGCAAATTTCCCTTTTACTGAAAATTAGTATTTGGGTGGGGGAGAGGGTCTTTGAGAGTTTATTGGGAATTTTTTTTCTTAGTGCAAGTTAGTGCTAACTTAGTTCTGTTTTTCTCTCTTCTCTCACCCTCCCTTTTTTTAATTAAAAAGACCCCAACAGTTATTCCCTGGAATAGAGCAACAGTGGTCCTTCGGACAACCAACGGATGCCAGTTTATCAGTGTTTGCAGAAGAATTTTGCAGCAAGGAAGTTTCTGAGTCTTCTACATTCTGCACGAGCCGCCAGTGGTGCAAAAGTGCTTATAGTGCAGGTAGTATTTCATCACCTACTGCAGTTTTGGCACTTCAGCATCACTGTGGCAGTCGGTGTGATGGCTGTCCCCCCTTGCTCAGGTGGAGGAGCAGGCTGGCCCCCTTTCCCTTTCCATCTGCCTGGGATACTCTAAGGCTGTTTGTGTTAAGGTGCATCTAGTGCAGTGAGTGGAATAGCTTAGAATCTACTGCCCTGGATGCGCCTTCTGGCACACGCAGCTGGCAGTGAGTCTTGACTGAAGTCACAAGGACAGGAAGACAGCAGCCGTCTTTCAGAATGCCTTGTGCACAACCAGAAGCCTTTAAGTCAACCTTGCAGAAAATGTGGGAGTGCAGCATTACTCCACCAGTGGAAGTACTGTTAGAAACTCAGGTATATAAGCCAGGTGCCAAATGGCCCCTTAAACCAGGGTTACACTCTCCAAAACGGAATGCCTAGTTGCCATTTTGGGGCCAGTCAGCTTGAAAGTCGTATTTTTTCAACTGTTTGGTTCCTGAAATTCATGCTGATTGTGCAGATAAAATAGAATGGGTAGAATTTTACAGGATGGGGTATTAGTGTGTGAAAACAGGGAAAATCCAAGGATCCCCGGGCATGGTGGAGATGGCAGGTGCCATTCTGGTGCCCAGTCATCTTCGCTTGGTGCAAGTGGCCAATAGCCAGATGGAAAATGTGCCTGGTGAATTCTGAATGCTGAATGAAAGGTTATTGAAAAGAGTGGAGTGGGGAACCTTTGGCACTCCAACCTGCTGGGTTCGAAACTACACCTGCCCCCTACCCGATATGCACCACGTTCTCAGTTTTCTTGCAGAACAACAACTGCCTAATAGAAACTGTAAGCAGTCATTGCTCCTATCCACATATCCCGTAGAAATGCACCTTAACTTGCAAACTGCGTCCTGGACCCTGTTTGCTTTCTCTGGCTTCTGTAGAGTGACTGTATTTCTACCCACCTTTCCTCCTAGGAGCCGAAGGTGGTGCCCGTGGCTCTCTTCATTTTGTCCTCACAAGAACTCTGTGAGGGACCAGCCCTGGGTCACCCAGTGAGCTTGATGGCTGAGTGAAGGTTAGTCCAAAACTCTAACCACTGCACCACCATGAGCTCTCCCTTTTTATTGTCGCCTCTGAAATGGTTATGGAGGGCTGATTTTTTTTAAAAAAGCATTCTTTTATTTATGTTTGTATTTTTGTGTGATGTTTTGCATGGTTCTATGCAATAAACTGGGAACTTGGTATCGCAGACCTTTTATATCTGAGTTGCTTCAGCCCCTTGGGAGTTTTGCAGCAACTCAGACTCTTTACCAGCTTGCCTAAATTCTATTGGGTGTGCATTTTTCTTTTTTAAATCTGGTATGCCTACCTAGCTTCTCAGGAGTATGAAAAGTTAATGGTATTTGGATACCACCTGCACTTTCTGATAAAACAAATGCTGTTTCGTTTATTTAAAGATTCATATTCCAATTTAAATTTAAATTGATTTACAACAATAAGTTGCACAATATACAAAATTTAAAACCAATTAAACCTCCAAAATTTTAAACTTAATGAATTTAAAATCTGTTTAAAAATAAATAAACATAAAACACCTGAGAACCATTTAGGGATCAAAAGTCTCCTGAAACAAAACAGTTCTGACCAGGTGTGTGAAACTCAGGGGTGGTGCCTGCTTAACTTCTTGTGGGAGGACGTGCCATAACTTTGAACCCACAACACCGAAGGCTTGACTCTTCATTGACATGAGGACAATGGGCTTGGCTCAGTGACCAGTGCCAGATCTTTTTAACCTTGGCGCCATGCGTTGGTGGAAGCATGTTCATGTCATCTGCACCAGCTGAAGCCCCACATAGAACCCACATGCAGTGCATTGCAAGAATCCAGTCTAATATCCAGTGGGATAGCAAAAGTCATTTCTGGTGTTGCAGTGTAGGTTACCCCAACTCTGAATCGAAACAATTTTGCCCCTTTCACTTGATATTTTATTTAATGAAATTTATATGCCGTTTAATTGTTGCAAAACCTTGCCTTGTAACGTAAGACGCTACCTTAATGCTGCCCCAGTCCATTGGTCCATCTAGCTCAGCATTCTCTACACTGACTGGCAGCAAACGCTCTCTGGGGTTTCAGGCAGGGAGTCTGTCCCAGCCCCACTGGAGTTGCCCTTGGGGATCGAATCCAGGGCCTTCTGCATGCAAGTCAGTGCTCTGCTGCTGAGCTGTGGCCTTCAAATACGTGGGACATATGAAATGGAAACAGTAAATATTGCCTGGCAGAATTCCACAAACATATCCCATATAAGCTGAACAGGTCCATGGTTTAGGGTGTTTAAATTCAAGTCTGCAAACCTCTTTCCATATCATTATGGGGGAAAGCAAAAATAGACTAAAGTGTCTTTCTCCACTCTTAAAAACAAACCTTTGGTTCATTTCAAAGATGCATAGGGTGAGGACTTTAAAACACATCACTGCCCATTTAGGACAGGGATAGGGAAACCTGTGATTTTCCTGTACCACAATTCCCATTATCCCTGTTACTGGCTACAGTGGGGTGAGCATAAGGGACTTAGAGCCTGTCAACATTTAGAGGGCCCACAGGTCCCCCAAAATTGATTTAGAAGGCTTACTGATTACTAATCTGGACAACCACAAGAGCTCTTGACAGTAGAACTCACAGGTAGGCAATGAACCTGAGTGTTGAAAGATTCAGGATACATAGAAGTCTGATTCACACAGTGCGTAGTTACACCCCCCCCCCCCGGCAGGAGGCAGTGATGGCCAGCCCCTTGGATGGCTTTGAAAGAGGCCTGGATAAATCTATGGAGGGAGGAGAGGACTAGAGGCAGCAAGGCTTCTTGGCTGGAAACCATGGGAAGGGGGAGGGCTTCCCATGGGCTGGGCTGGATGAGCCATTGGCTGTTCCAGAAGTCACTCTTGTGTTCTCAGGTTTAGGGCTCAGTGCTCATCTAGCATCCTGTTTGCCACAGTGCTCAGGCAGATAGGCTTCCATGTTCCACACTAGCTTTTAAAGGTACCTTGGCATCTTGGGAACACAGGAAGACCTTTTCACCAAGTCAGGCAAAAGGCCCACCCAGCTCACTATGGTCTGCATTGAGTAACAGGCTTTCCTCAGTTTCAGACCTGGTCCTTCCCAGCCCTGTCTGGTGATTTTTTTCTGTTCATAAAATTTACTCCCTTGTAAAAAAAAACAACCCAAAAACCTCGGAAGTAAATTACAAAAAACCCCAATGTCATAAAATTTTTCAATAAAAACAGTTAAAACAGCTACAGTGGTACCTCGGGTTACATACGCTTCAGGTTACAGACTCTGCTAACCCAGAAATAGTACCTCAGGTTAAGAACTTTGCTTCAGGATGAGAACAGAAATCGTGCAGCGGCAGCAGGAGGCCCCATTAGTTAAAGTGGTGCTTCAGGTTAAGAACAGTTTCAGCTTAAGAACGGACCTCCAGAACGAATTAAGTACTTAGCCCGAGGTACCGCTGTAGGAGAAGGGGACGACGGAGGACGAGATGGTTGGACAGTGTTCTCGAAGCTACCAGCATGAGTGACCAAGCTGCGGGAGGCAGTGGAAGACAGGAGGGCCTGGCGTGCTCTGGTCCAGGGGGGTCACGAAGAGGCGGACACGACTAAACAACAACAGCACCACTGTACTAAAAAAATTATGTGATAAGTGAAACACCAAATTAAAATACATGTCTGCATGTCTGGGTAAGTTTGTCTAAACAAAGCCTTAGCTGAGAAGACTAGTAGAGTCACCTGCGAGCCTCCCTATCCAAAATGCTTTCCCGAAGGATTCCCAGCAATCTCTGCTTTGTCTTAGCAGTGGCAAAGTGCTCATAGTGCAGGTAGTTGTGCATCCAGATCTACTGTAATATGGGCACTTACAGTACTGTTGGACACCAGACGCCACGTTGGGGCCGGTGGGGGGCGGAGTAGCGCCTGAGAAGACCATGTGCTGATCTACAGTCCGTTTTGCAGGTTTGCATCCCAGCTTGGTGTCCATTGCTGTGCAAATCCATGCAAAACTGACGGTGGTGGTGTGAGCAGAGAGGAGCTCCGTCCCCCCAGGGCTGGGAGGGAAGAGACGGGACAGGCTTTCCCCCCTGTCCTCTTTATTCTCGCTTTGCTTTCAAAGGCAGCTTTAGAAAAACTGGTTCTCCTGGGTTGGGATTTG